TGTGTTCTTAAATTGAAGGGGGGGGGGGGGGGGAGGGAAACAAGGGCAGTCTAGAAGGATGTCTTAGAAAAACCTTAGAATTCCACCAAACTGACTGATGTATCATTTATGGTTAAAGCTGAGTAACCAAACCACAACTATTTTTTGCTTTTACATTTGTCAGTTTAATTTGTTTCTGACTTTATTTACAAAAACTGAAGAAGGAAGACAAAGATCTAAGTATGGGTCAAAGACTTCGTTACCTGTACAAACAGAATGCGTCTCATTTCTCAAGGTACTGAAGTAACCATTAGAACAGTCCAAACAAAAATCTCCTGTATACTCCTTGTTACAGCTACATGTGCCATCTCCACCTCGGGTACCATCACCATCACAGTGGCCATTTCCATGGCAAGGTCTTTCCGATCCACCACGACAAGCTAAAAAGGATCAAAAATACTTTTAAATCAGAAGTTAAAGGAAATAACTTCCTATTCTCACCACAAGCACCTGAAGTCCCTCACTCTTCATAGACAGTTTAAAAAAAAAAAAAAAATAGTCACACTAAACCAGGATATAATTTCCAAAATCTTTTTTCCCTTGAGAGCAACCAAAAGGCTTGCAACAAGGAATGCTCAGTAATATATTCAAGTATAAGAGGAACTCAAAACAATCTCCAGGAAAGTTCAGTTATATATTTAATTTTGGGTAAAGACCACGGCTTAGAATTTTATCTATTTTCCTAGCTTCCTGGCTAAAGTTGGTATCTTTTTTACTCTGAATTTCTGCGAATGCTCATACTGCAGTTGGAAAAACCTACTATCAATCATTTAGATTGGTATTGGTAGAATTGGCACTTAATTTTAAACAATATAAGAGGCCAAAGCTGATCTCTAACAAGGTAGAAGGTTTTAGAGATTTATAAATTATACAAACTTCAGGGGCCAAAATACCTCCTTTATCACTTTTGCATCAAGGACCTTACTTTCATCCAATTGTTTCCTACCAACTTTCATCCAATTTCTCCCACTGCCTTTTTAACTAATCCTCAGTTGTGAATTTCTTCATTTAATCCCCAGCAGTGTTTTGGCCATCTTACTCTTGAAACTGGTCAAGGACTGTTGTCTACGTAGCTTCTGAAAGGCCACCTGAACAATAGAATTGATGTTACAGAGAGCCTTTAAGCGTGGGTCAGGTGTGGATGTGAGCATCAGATCAGATGGATTCTGCACATGTAAGTACCCCTGATAGCTTTGCACATTACTTCATGCCCGGACTACTTTTCTTCAGGCGGGATGCTCACAAGGCAGCTACCTAACTATCAGGCAGCAGGCAGGTACATACTACACAGCAGCTGGTGTCTCACACAAAGTATCATACTTCATGTATTTGTCCATGTTACGAAGACTGAAATAAACAGGTAAAAAGAACACATCTGCTACTGTGTTTTTCAAAAGAAAAATTACCAAGGCAATCTGGTCCATAAGTTCCAGCAGGGCAGCAAACTTCTATTGTTTCTATGCAAAACCACTTAAACAAATCAGGATACTTCTTCTTTCTGTATATGAAAGACATTCGTTTATCAACCAAAGGAACGAAACTTCTTTAAAAGCCAGCTCGCACAACTGAACCTCCACAATGCAGTAGAGAAATCTATTGCACGTGACAGATTAGAAACCTATTTTTTCTGTTCTGAAGACAATCTTATTTCATGAACCAATTTCTAGAAGTTGTCCTCCAACTTGAGGTGAATTTACCTTTTAAACTACAATACTATTAACAGAATCTATTCAAATTTTATACATCATATTTATGAAAAATGTAAAATAAGAGCATCCAATAAAATCAATTCATCTTGATACATACACTCATCCCTCCCCCCCCCTTTTTTTTTTAACACCTTATTTTTAGGGAAGGTTTATATATAGTTTAGACGGTCTTATTTATGTCTTCCTCTTAAAAGATAACTGCTGTGTCTTTATCTCAACTATGTAGAAGATAACCTAGGACAGATACTAACATTTGCTCAAATTATTGCCAACCTGATGATAGGGTGCCTGTTAAAATTTCTCCTCTTTTTCAGCATGAATCAAGTATTATTTTAGAAAGAATTTTTTTTAATATTAAGAAGTTAGTTATGTGTTACTTTAGCACTAGCATACACCCCCAATTAACAATGACATCGCTAGATATTATTTTGCAAGCAAGCATGAGGACTACTACAGTTCTGAATGACAATTCACAGATCTCAGCATCATGTTGATGCTGAAGTCTCAAAAACTTTAGTAAAGGAAAGGCTTAGATGTTCTGTAGCCTGACAGAAGTCTTCAGTGACTCCCAAGGCATGTACAGCTTCTCTTTCCAAACTATTCCGTCTGACCATATTGACTCCAGGGCTCACGCCCTGAAAAGTAAATTTACTAAGTACCACATGTAATGTAACAACTTGTGAAAAAAGATCTAAGGTATTCATGGACAAAGAAACTGTCTTTGGAAACTACCACAGAAACTGAATGACATTTGGATATCGCAGGTTAAAGGACAGAAGGCAAAATTAATCAATTGCCTCAAAAGGTCTATTAAATACAGAAACTTTCCAAAAAACAATGTATTTTATGAACGGTCTTGTTTATTTTAGGAAGTCTACTTTGTCAAATTCTCTAGTTTAAGACCCGTTTCTTTCAGTTTTGCAAATTTAAGACAAATTTAAGACTCTGGATTGCATAGCTCACCTTTCTGGAAGGCATGTCCTAAGAAGAGCAACTAAGTACTTTGGGCTTGTCTAGTTTGGAGTAAAGGAGGCTGAGGGGCGACCTCATTGCTCTCTACAGCTTCCTGAGGAAGGGAAGTGGAGCGGGAGGTGCTGATCTCTTCTCCCTGGTATCCAGCAATAGGACGCGTGGGAATGGTTCAAAACTGCACCAGGGGAGGTTTAGACTGGACATTAGGAAGCATTTCTCTACCGAGAGGGTGGTCAAACACTGGAACAAGCTTCCTAGAGAGGTGGTCGATGGCCCAAGCCTGTCAGTGTTAAAGAGGCATTTGGACAATGCCCTTAATAACATGCTTTAACTTACGGTCAGCCCTGAAGTGGTCAGGCAGTTGGACTAGATGATCGTTGTAGGTCCCTTCCTGAACTGAAATAGTCTATTCTATGCAATGCTATTCTACTCCCTTCAATTGGCATGTTAATGTATACACAATCCTGTATAGTTAAGTAAAAGGATAAAGCAATAAAGCAGTCATTAAGAGCAAAGTGGGTTATCAAAAATCCTTATCCAGTTATGAAATCTTATAACCCTATTGAATTCTAGCTGATTGGGAGTGCTGACAGTCTAAAGCAGTTAAAAAATACTTAGAAGAAACATAATTTGGAATTAAAAAAAAGATCTTAAGAGATTTAAATGCTACAAAGCCATCCTTGCACTAATTATATTTTATAATGGTATACAAAAAGCTTAGTTATAACAGAAATCACAGGCTAGCTTAGAAGGCAGATAGAAAAGTCAGCTGCTACACCACATCCTCAAGAGATCCAACTTCTAGATTTATTAGTATAAACTATTTTTTTGATTGCCAGGAGAACATAATGTTTCAGGAAAAAAAAGCAAATAAACAAAAAACCCATATGAACCAAAGAGTCCCTTGCAGTTTTATGACACAGGAAAACGAAAAAGGTAATAAACCTCAAAGTTTTCCAACATTAGTTTGCCTCAACACCCCACTGGTAACTGAGTAGACAGTATATGAGAAGCCAGACTGCATGTTTTGGTGCAACACTTCCAGAATTGAAAATAAAAAAGAACACAGTACAGCAGCACATACTATTAGAAGTCAGCCTGAACCCAGCTGTACCCAACGGCAGCTCTTGAAGGATACTGCTATTGTTCAGGCACAAGATTTAACATCAGTAGTTCACCCTCTTAGATAACTTATCCACACAAAGATCTCCACAAAAAAAATTGATACTTACAGTTTGAACCACCATTTCTCTATATGTTCTTCATGCTCTTCTACCATGTTGTTACATTCAAAGTTACTACTGTCGCACAGATTCTCTATGATCTCTACAAGACGAATTTCACTACAAGCAGAGAAGAAAAATCGTAAGTTTAATTTAAACATTTGACACCACTCAAGACATGACAGAGAAGCTAGACTTCAGACTAGAATACTTTATCAGTTTATGGTGTGTCCTGAATTAGGTCCAAAACAAAGCAAATACCAGAATAAAGAATTAACAAACATTACTTCAACTAAAAAAATTAGAAGGATGACCACAAGAACCACTTTGGCTTGCTTGCATTCATTATGCCCGCAGATTGTAGGTTTGACAGATTTTTAGCTTCCCAGCAAATTTTGAGTGCAGTATTTTTCGCCTAAGTTCAACAATAAATTTCACGTATTGTTAATATTTGATACAAGCCCACAAAGCTCACAGTAACTGAGGTTCAGAAATCCCACCCTTAAATCTCAATGCTCCAACTAAGATTAAAAAGTGAATTTGAAATTTGGAAGAAAGATACCAGATCACTTTGCTAAGTAATCACACATATATACAAAAGAGTACAGTAACCTGCACCTCTTCTAGTTTTCTGTTTGGCACTGAAATAGTGACGACTCTAGGGAAGAGATACTGCTTTAATTCTAAAACAAGTATTGCAGTACTCCACACTTTTTATGACTATCAATTAACTATTGACTATTATTTAAGATCATTATTTTAGGACTTTAATGGATAAATAGAAAAAAACCTACTATGACCAATGACAGTATTAACTTTTGTTATTTTCAGAAACAAGACAAATAAAGGCATTAATAAGGGGGGTCAGTCTTTAGGGTAATTTTCACTTTACAATGTAATGTTACATTTTAATCGATAAGAATTTAAAGCTTGGACATGTGAAACTTTATCTGCAACATTCAGTATTTAAGTTCCAGATAAACATCGGTACAGTGAAGTTACGCACAGTAGACACGAAATGTAGCCAAATGAGAAGTCCTGAGACAGCTTACCTGGACTCATACTTTGACAGAGTCTTCTCTTCCCAAGCAGTGTTTCCGCCACCAAAGTTCTTTTTAGCTGTATCTGCTAATCCCTACAAATGAAAAGTAGCAAAAGAATGGAAGTTACATAGGGTTTGTTTCTAACAAAAATTAAGGGCAATAGTAAATGCTTATATGAAAATTGTGAGAAGCGCCATGCAGAAACTTCAGTTAAGCTCTGAAGCTGCTGATCAAACTGCTAAGTGAAAGAAACAGCTAGCAACAACATGAAAAGTGAGAAAACGTAGGTTATAGCATAACATGACTCAGTTTTCATAATGCGTAAACAAGACCTTGTTACGGTCTTCATTTACGTCAAAAAACATACACGTATGAAACTTTATACCCTTCCCCTTTAAGTTCTCAGGAACTTTATTAATCAGTTGAACAGGACCTCTACTTCACTCAGTTTTGAGAGTACTTAGCCCGATCTTCATCATGTTGTAACTTAAACACACAACCATACAACAGGATAATTCACCGTGATCAGCACAACTTCCCCGAGTCACAGCCAATGCCTGTCAAACCATACCTTGCAAAAAATCTCTGCAGTTAAAGTGATCTACCAAGCCTATAACAGAGAATATATGTACAAAGAGTATTAAGTATCTGTCACAAGCCGAAGCAGCCCCTTACTGCCTACGTTAAATTTACTGTGCCACAATGCAGAGCTGTTGCGAGCGGCAACAGAAAGAGAATTTTAGGGGGATGATGTTTTCGATCAGCCCTCCTCATGGCCCCGGGCACGCTACAGCCAGCCCAGCCAGTCTTTTCGCACTAAAGCACAAAAATACCTTTGACAGCAAAGCTGGAGGAGCTTTGTAACCCACCGACCTAAGGACTGCAACTGTTACCGAAGCCGGAAGCAAACTGCTGCCGTGCATC